ATGATACAATTATCAACTTACCTATAGATACAGGTTTTTGGCTAATTAAATCCATGAAATACATAAAATACTAAACCATTAAGAGTTTATAAGATCTGCTCTCAGTATTTAGTGCAATGTACTCTATTTTTTTTTTTTTTAGTATATTATGTAACTATTACTTACAACAGTTCAAATCAACACAGGTCTGCATCCACTATTTTTGCACTTTGCTGTAAATCCCCAAGATGGGTATTAACTCGGCTGCACTAATTCTCATGGGTGAGTTTGGGGAATGTGAAAGAGCCCCATAAGCTGCTCAATTAAAACTAGTTAAAGTGAGCTACTCACATATCATATAACATCAAGCTTCAGAGTTCCTTCATTGTCAAGAATTTTAACAGTTATGTTTCTTTAAAGCTGGAGAATTCCTACATCAGACCTTCCACTAGAGAAGGTGACAATTTTACTTTTTGATTTTTTGGATCGTGTCCAATCCTTTTTCTAGGGATGAATTATGGAGGCATCTGAGAGGTATACTTGGCTAAGGAAGAAATGACATCTCCCACTCAAGCCCAAATAGCTATATAAGAGAGCTGCTCCATGGACCCACTGGACAGAGGCAAAAGATGCCTCATTACCTCTGAACTGTATATGATAGAATTCAAAGCATAATTTGAGGGAATTAGTGCTGCTTTATTCTCTACTGATAAGATCAGTAACTGGAGTTGGAACATATGTGTGTGAAACTAATTTATTCCTGACATTTATCTGCCTTGGAAATAGGCATACTAGCACTCAAGTTATTCATATCTACATATTTAAGTTAGTCGAGTTTACTAAAAATATGCAATTAGTGCATACAGACCCTCAAGCCATATTCTACTTCAAGGCCATCCTTTCTTTGCTGAACAGAACAAAATATTGTTTACATATCAGGATGTTTTGTCTTTCTTGTTATGCCTGCGCACCAAGCATTCTGCTTCAAGATTTCCAAATTAGCTGATAATTAAAAAATATTCTTAGTTACACTTGTCTGTACAAATCCTTATATTCATTTCCAACATACCACCATCACTTTTAAAGATGTACAGAATGCATATTTTCAAGGTAACAGCTCAAACATACCCCTGGCAAACAATGGATACTATAGATTGGAACATCTTGTGGTGAGGAAGAATGGTATATATAAAACAAGTTCCCAGCATTTCAAGGGAGTTTTATGAATATTGGTGGCAACTGGATGGAATAAATTCCACTGGCCCTTTAAGAATTCTAGATCTGACAAGCTAAAGTGGATTCCATAGAAGACCGTAGCACTGATGGAAGCTATGGATGCTGTAGCAGAATTACATGCTAGAAACCAACCAACCACCCATGCCTCTGTTTTTAAAAAGAATCCCCAGAGAAATGCTTGGCAAAGCTATTACTAATCCCCTCTCCCAGCACAAAACAGATATATGTATTTTTCCTCCCTCAAATCTTACGCATCAACTTTACATTTGAGGGGGGAAAAATCCCATTTTCACTCATAAAACACACATGGGTTCTCTGTATGGCCAAAAGTGAAACATAAGGCTGCTTAGTCATACATCTAAAAACTCGAACCCTTAATGCAACAGATACGAGTTTGCAGGTACACATCATTGCTGCTCTCACTGTAGTTCTTCATTGGGTGCCTAGTGTAGCAAACTCTGATTTGCCATTTTATTATCTGAAGTGACTTGCACATCCTTATATAACTAATGAAATCACTAACTTGCAATTGCTATATTTCCTAGGCACCCTTATAAATATGCAAAGTGTATGTACAGTGCGCCTAAATGTTCTTCTGCTCATGTAGCACAAAATGTTGAATTTTATTGTTCTGATGCATGACTCCATTGCCACCGGCATTTTCATCAATAGTGTTATATAGGATTACACCAGAAGGGTTTAATAAGAAAGGAGTCACATCAGCGACAGCAAGAATATGTCCAAGGGGCACCCATTACAAACCCTCTAGTATTATACAAAAGGAAAAGCTAGAAATAATTATTACCTTGCTCTTTTGCAGCCTCTTCCTGCTTAATAGTAAACATAATGATTTACCTAATGAAAAGTTTAATTGTAATGGGAGAGACCTGGGAAAGCTGTTATACCAAGCTCGTGATTTCAAAACTTTCAGCAGTAATTAAGAGAGATAAAAGCTAATTCTATATACATAAAGAGGATAGCTACTAATTTATTAAAATTATACACCCAAGCTCAAAGGCAAGTTAATATTTCCCACTGGTGGGGTAGTTTGCTTTTGTGGGCTAGCTGGGCTGGTCTTCTGCTCACACGTGCTCCTCTATATGCCTCTAGAACAGCATGCTGGCTGGGGAATTCTGGGAGTTGAAGTCCACTCATCTTAAAGTGGCCAAGTTTGGACAACACTGCTCTAGAATGAACATTCTATTTCAGAATTTTTCAACATTCCACATTTCATCTGCATGTATTCTTAAAGCAACCAGGATCCAGGAATCTACTGCATAGTTCATAGGAGTAGCAGCAAGAAACAAGGAGGGCTAGCCGCTTTCAATTTTATTTATGTTATTATAGTGTAAGACATGTAAAATGAGCTACTTCCAGCCAATTAGTCTGCCAGTGATTTTTTTAATGCTATTGTCAATTTGTTTTTAAAACTCTGCTTCCTTCAAATAGAAAGTCTCCTCAGTCTATCTGGCTCACTGAAGTTAAGCAGGATCATGGCTAAAGTACATTTAATCTTGCTGTTGAGGAACTGTAGTAACTTACACACTGATAGAGTCATGGAATAATGCTGCAGGACAGTTGGTTTCTGTTAGGATCCCAGCTGTTCCATTTGCATATAACTTCTCTCTCCTTTTCTACCCTACCCCCTAGGAAGTGCAACCAAAGATTCCTATTAAACATTTTCCTCATTAAGGAGAAGTTCCAAAAATAGTCCAATTTGTGGTTTTTGGGGGGTGGGGTATACTTCAATTGTAATAAAATCTGGGATTCTGTTCTGATTTCCATAGCCTACTCTCATTCCAATTGGAAGGAATAATTTATGAATTTCTATATATATCAGTTATCAAGACAATAAGACAATTGCCTCTGCACATATATTTATTTATGATCTCTTCCCCTATTTTTTCCTACTTTTCAATCACAGAATTTCATTACCCTTCCAACCCTTTTTCAGTTCAACACCCTCAGTCAGCATTCAGTGCAATGCTCACTGGCTGTTCTGAAGACTGTCTTTCCTTCTTAAACTAGATTTTTTTTTCCTCCTAAAGATTTTTTTGGAGTATATGCAAATCTTGAGGTTACTCTCTCTGTAGTTTCTTTGCCATTCTTGCTACATAAGCACAAGTGTGAGAAATACTGAATTAGATACAGAGAAAATGGTGATTGCAACTCCTTAACCTTAATGACTCCCAGCAATAAAACAAAACTATTCAGAAAAAGACCGTAAGCCCTAAGATTCAGTGATGGCAGCTTGTTCAATTGGTTTCCAAAAGGGAAATAACCTCATATACAGAGCTACCAAACAGGTTTAGCCTGGATATTCCATACAGCTATTATTCTCAGAGGCTAGGAAAACCACCAAGGGCAGCAGGATTCCAGACAATCCAAAGCTCCCTGAGGAAAGGAGGATGGTGGACATGGCACAACTAAATGGAAGGCAACAAACTAGTGCTGGAAGTAAAAAATCACTTTTCTTAAAGCTGATCAGGAACTTGATGACCTGCCTCAGAACACAGCAATCTCTTAGAGTGATTCCCCAACACAACATGGCAAGCTTTGTCTAAAGCAGTTTATGTAGGACAAGAACACAGTATTTTTGGTGACCATAGATCCAAGGTGGCAAGATGCAGGAGAAAGAATTTGGAGCAAAGATTACTTCAAACTGAATTTAGAATAAATTAAAGTTAAAACAGTGACTCCCAGTGTAGTGTCCTCTGTCATATTAAACATTACACTTTAGTGACAACTTTTGGAAGAGTTTTGAGGAGTCCACATTCAAAGCTATGGGGCATGTTTTGTATCACTTGAACTTCTGAGCTGTAGAAATCTATAGGCACAGACCACCCAGAAACCCCAAGCAAGCCTTCTATTTCCTTAGTAGGACATATGTGATTAAAAAAACTTCTAGTCACTCAGGCTCAGAATATAAGTGTGAAGTTTGCTAGCAGTGGACTGAAAACAATACATTTGGAGGCACATCCAAACTAAACACATGACAGGTGCACCTATTCAGACATGTGATTCTACTATTCTAGTCCTCCTTTTCACTTGCCTATTCTGAGTCCACCTCAATCAAAAGAGGGCAGGAAAAGGATAGGCATTTACATACTACAAATGCCATATCAAAAATAGTGAAACCAATTAAAAGGTACTGCGAGAAAACATTTCTATTTGCTGCAACTGGAGCGTGTTTTTAACAGATGGAAGTCTTTTTTTCCAGAAAATAACATTGTACTTTTAAATATATTTAAATCTATGTTGATGTCATTTTATGGAAATTTATTTGAAGCACAGCCAAAATCATTAGGATGCTTTTCAACTAAAAGAATTCTAGGGACATTCCTAGGCTGGGTAGGATAAGCTTTCAACAAGGACAATGGATTTTCCTCCATGTTGTTGGATAGTTTCAACCTTTTTTCCCACTGGGAAGCAAAGAATGCATTGCCCCATAAGAATTCTATAGGGAGATTCTAGATAAGCATTTTCTATAAGCTTTGTTTTTTTTTATATAGGCAGCACCACCTAACTGGTACCCATAACACTAATGAAAGAATTTGGAGGAAGGGGGGAAGTCTTCCTTGACAGTATGTTTTGCTGCAGGATTACTAATAGAACACCGCACCATCAAGCCCCTTTCTCTGGATACCAAATGGAGGCCTAATTCCTATAAAGCTGGTAAAAATATTCCACTATAAAAGAATTCCCTCAGCAGACCACACCCTTTATGAAAAGCAGAAACAAGGTTCAGCTGGTGGCAATGAAGGGAAAAGCACCATGTTACAAACCTCAAGTCCAGACACAGAAATAGATGAATCCAGTGGTCTCTTCTTTCTTGGCCCAAGGGCTTCCAGAGCGGCACGATTAGCTTCCCTTTGCTGCATTTGTGCAAATTCTAATTGCTGCATCTAAGATGAAGAGGAAGTTAGGAACAGATTAGCTCTCAATATACTGAAAGCCACACTTGGGCTTTATCAGCTTTTCTTCCCCACCTTGACCTACTCTTTAAATAGCAGGGAAGTTTTATCAGTCCTAAACAAAACAAAACAAAACACTGGGTTGTGTTGCAAAGTACCAATAAGAATCACACTTAGGCAGTACTTGTTCACAAGGTACCTCTATACTATACCTTAAGAAATTATTCCAGTAGAATTTTTATCATATAAGAAAGGTGGTCCAAATTTGTTAAATGCAGTCAGATCAATCCAAGTATCATTTCAAAAAATACATATTTTATGCACCAGGTTTTACAGTAATTTTTGCTTTTACAACAGTTATTTTAGCTTCTTTCTTGCAGAGGACAGCATTGAAATATAAACATTCACTTAGATTCCATTCTGGGGGCTGCTTATAACAAGTTCAAATATATAAATGCACTGTGTCTGTTTTGTTGTAAGCTGTGACAACTGTGTATATGTGAACCACACCTATGTGCCTTTATCTCCTGAGACAATTGATAGTGATAAACATCAGCTACCACAGTATATGGAGGAAGGTGTGTATTCCTAAACTAAATCAAGCAAGTCCCCACAAAGCCAAGTGATACTCCTGACTTTATCCTTATATATTCACTTGAAAAAAGACAAGTTTGCAATCAGGAGCATAGAGAAAGCATTTCAAAACCATTTCCCTTCTTCGATTTTTCCATCAGCTCCAAGTACAAAGATTTTTTAAAAACCTGTGTAAAGATCAAATTGCCATGAAAACATCGCAGAAATGGTAAAACGGTCTTTGTTGCTGCTGGCCTTTTTAATAATAATATATAGAGTTTTTAAAGTCTAGTCTTGAAGCAGTCAGGAGTTTCTAGGTGACACAATAACCATTTTGGTTAATCTGACCTGAAGCACAAATAAAGTAGAGGCACATTTTTAAAGCCCTTCCCAATAGTTAGATGGCATTTGCAGCCAAGCTACAGTCACACAAAGGAATTTAAAAAGGGAAATCCTGTGTAGTCTGCTCAGCTTTAAGAAAAAAACTTTATTTCCATCTTGCACAAATTTTTCACGTTTATAGAAGTTCACTCCACCACCCTCATTACCTTCCACTTTTTGTGCAAATATGATGCCTACCTGTTGCTTAAGATCCATATAAGCTCAAAATGTCCAAACCAGAGTTTGTTGCCAGGTCAACTGTAACATGATTTTGTTCCCCTTCAGGAATGCTTTCCCCCAAACCAATGCTTTCCAGATGTATTTGGACTACAACTGACAAAACACTAGGCTGGAAATTGTGGAAGTTGAAATCCCGAACCATCTGCAGAACACCAACTTGGAGACAGCCACATTAGGATTTAACTGAATACTAAACATATCTTACACCGTTGTTCAAAGCAAACCTTATCCAGTTCCTGTGCAAAATATAGAACAGCCTACAATATCTAGGAGAGCCTGAACGATCCTTTGACATCTAAATGAATCTTCTTTATCGCTTTTCACTCACACAGTGAGTGAACAATTGGACAAGCAAAGTGATAGTTCACCTGCTCTTTAAACTCAGGGTGTGAACATAACCATGTTGTTACATTGTTTCCCCTACCACCACCTCTTAGTCCATTTACCATGAAAAATGAGCAACGCCGACCTTTTCAGTCATATCAGTGACTAAAACATGGGCATAACAATTGCCCACTATGTACATGAAGGATGTACATCTTTTAATTTTACATATGACAAAAGGATGAATGAAGCTAAACTAAACAACTATTTTTTTTCTCCTAAGGGTTTGTTGTCCCAGCCCAAGTCTGGGTCTGGTCCCAGTGTGCTAAACGCCCAAAGAAAGACACCGAGGTGGAGATTGAAGCAAACTTTATTCTGTGCAGAAAAAGGACACAAAGGAGATCTCTCTCAAAGCTTGTGTAAACACCTTGTTGTTCAGTGGTTCTTTATAGCAAAGTTACCACAAACCTTACACAAACCTAACTCCCTGTGGTCACATCTTGACCTTTCCTTATATAGGGCTTCTAGCTGCTGGTTCTGCTAATATTTTGTAATGATCAGCAACATTTGACATATTTATGATTACATAAACCATCTTAAACTCACCCAATCTATATTTACCATATATGTCTTGTTCTAGAAGCTTCTTTAACCACAATTCTTGCTTCCTGCTGTTTGCCTTCTCCCACGGTATTTGGGATTACCTTTAGCAAGCATTCCTTTGGCAATACTTCAACTGACTTTTTTTCTTAGTAGCTTTTTATTTTATTTGTTAGCAATTAGTCATATTTTTATCTGCTGGCAACTGTTAGCACTTTTCCATGTTTATCAGGTTCATTCCCAATATTAAGTTAAGCCATGATGCCAGAACTCTCAATCATGTTCAATTCAAATATACTTAATGAAAACAGACCAGGATCAAGCTATGTTTTCAGATCCTGGTTTGTTCTGAATCATTGTAATCACAAATTACAGTTCCAGATATTACACAGGGTCTTCTGCCCGCATTCTGAAGCACAATGGCCTTAGATTTCATTTCCCATTCACTTGACTGGCATTTAAATCAGAGTAATGTATCTACAGGACATTGTTAGGTATATTGTAAATAAGCCTCTGCCCATAAACAATCACAATACATGAAAAAAACTGGTTTAAAATATGTCAAGAATTGCCATTTGGATTAGACTACTCTGGCGAGATATATCATCGAAAGGTAGACTGTACACAAAACAGACGCCTCTTGTATTATTTGCTGCTTTTCTTCATATATCCAATTACATGATTTTGTGCTGCTGTTTTTATCCTACCTTGTTCAGTTGTGAAGTGCTGCAGTCCATAAATATGTTTGTATGCTAACTCTCTAAGTACTCATTTTAAGCCAAATGGCATATGTCGCCACCAACTTTACTAGGCAGGATCCCCTTTATTCTATGCTTTACCATTCTTTCTCAACCCTAATACTGTAGTCTTTCAATGAGATGCAAAGATCTTCCATGGCCAGCTGCTAAACTTTCCCCCTAAACTCAGTTTATTCATCTTCAGTTTTATAATCTTTTCCTCTTGTCTTACAAATCTAACAGTATTCTTTTCCCTTCTCCAACATCTTCCCCTACTGTAGCATGCTTACATCCCCTAATATTTTAAGTACATTTCTAGATCTACCCCAGTTAAATAGGTAAAAATTATTTCCAGACCATTGAAGAAGAGTTAGACATTAAAGTAACATTTTTACTTATATTAGAATACTTGACGGAGATAGATTAATATAGATAGATTTAAAAATAAAAATTGTCTTGATTTTAATTATATTGTTTTTATTCATATGTTTGCAAACTTATATTTTTAACACAAGCTGTTTGATGGAATACCCAAGTTTATTTTCAGACTGCCACTATCTGCATTCTGAAAAGATTCAATGGACTGTGCAGAGGCTGAAGAAAATAATTGATTATCTATTAAGATGGAAAATAAGATTCTTGCAATAGCCCCAATATAGGAACAAGCATTTTGCAACTTAAAGGCAATAAATGTGTCATATTGTGGCAAATAGAAGAGCATCCCCAAAGGCAATATTTCAAGTAACCTCAGACTCTGGAGAAAATAACAAAGAGAATCCTACAAGGGCAAAGTGTGCTTATCCCAGTGAAGACTGTGACTAAATGCGAAAGAAGCACAGTGGGAAGGAACTGTAACTATGGTAATAAGGGTGAACAGGATACTGACAAGTTATCTGTTGCTACTTAATGGAGAATTGTGCATATAATAAAGGAAGGTATGAATCTGATGGTACTGAACATGGGAAGAATCTTGCAGATCCTTGGAGTGTAGGATATGCATAGGGAAACTAGCTGAATGGGTCTCAAAGAAAAGCAGTAAACATCAACATTCAACAAGTAATCCTTTTTTATGTCATTGAACACACACATTAACGTTTTTAAAGAGTTCACAGCACAATGGAAAGATTTGTTATGCTTTAGTATCTGTTTTGCAAGACAAAGTATGGAGCTATGCATAGGGAAACTAGCTGAATGGGTCTCAAAGAAAAGCAGTAAACATCAACATTCAACAAGTAATCCTTTTTTATGTCATTGAACACACACATTAACGTTTTTAAAGAGTTCACAGCACAATGGAAAGATTTGTTATGCTTTAG